AGTTCTAGACTGAAAGAGAAGAAATAGAGACATGTCTACAGACATCAAGTAGTGTGGGATAGACCTTTCTTGGCTGAGATTCTAAACACACAGGAACTACAGGTGTCCACATTCAACAACAAGTAAATTACTGATTTGTGGTTATTCAGTTTGTTTTCTCAGTGTAAGAATCTAGGATGGACTACTCTGACTTCATTGTGATCATGGTCCAACTTGTCCTACTTTACATCATTTGGAACTGTGTTGTACAGGTCTAAATAGCTTTAACCATATTTTCCCTATAAAATACTTGCTGCTTACTGGCCATCTCCCGTATACAAATGAACTATGGTTTAGTTTTCAAACATGTCTAGAAAACATGTGAAGGGTGAATAGTTCACCTGTCTAATCCCCACACTTATCAGAAGTCCAGGGAAGCTGATCCATGATGTCATTAGTATAAACTGGATTTCACTTTCACCAGATTTCTTCAACTGGGTGTGTGTGTCCCTGGGAGTTCACAGAAGTGTGCAGAAGTGCAAAAGACAAAGGACTGATCTAAAACATTAATAACACTCAGAGTTTGGGGATAGGATTCTTATTTTATATTTTGTTGTTGTAAAAGGCTACATTTGTGTGAATTTCATGGTAAAATATTTTGGTCACTTGTATCTCCTGTCTTCACCTAAGCTCATGTTTAGACTCATCTGCCATTAGAGGTACTGAAAGAGAAAAGTAAAATAAACTAGGTATATATGTACTTGAGGAGAGGGAGGAGAGGAGAGATGGGGGGAGAGAAGAAAGAAGAGAGGGAGGGAAGGAGGAGGAAGAAAACATAACTGTGAATGGAAAGATGAACACCATTTTCCTGACTCTGGCCTGAAATACATATCTGGAAGTCCCTGCATTCAAAGAATCTTCCTCTATGAAGTGTTATTTACCAGTTGTTGCCAAAGGCTGAGGCTCTAAAGCCTGTATGGCCCCTGCCTGGCCCTCCATGACTGGCTGCACAAGAATAACGAAGGTTGGGCCTGCTCACCCATGAAGCCACTAAGACTATTCTGTGTACTCAGAGTCCCTGTCAGGACGAAAGTCCCAGTAGACCCAGTTTTAGAGCGCTATCATGTACGAATACTACCCACTTGTAGGTTTTTCTTTTAAGTCCTCCCCACCATTGCCAGCTCCAAGGCAGGAGACCAGCTTAAGGCTAGTGTCACATTTATGTCCTATGTCACCCTTGCCATCCCATGTCCAGTCTGTGTTCCTTGAAGTTATTTTCCTTTTCTGTTTAGATTTAGTCTTTCTGAAGATGAAATACTGAAGGAAACAAATCTATTTTGACAAAATAAATATAAAAATGCAATATGCTAAAAATATAAAGCTAGGACTCATTTTAAATTCCCACTGGCAGAATGGAAAAGTACCACGATTGAAGTGGCAGTAAACAGTATTACTGCTAAGTAACCTACTTCCTTCAGCACTCCACCTTTGTAAGACAACTGCATTCTTTTTTATCTTTAAGTATTCTTTCAAGTCACTCCTGAATTGCCAGCACCTGAAATAATTGTAAAAGTCTTAAGCAATGTTTTAGAGTTCCAGAGAGTATTTTTTTATTTTTCAAAAAGGTGAAGGTAGCTAACTTTCTTAAAAGTCATTCCTACTTAGTTTCAGTTTAAATATGGAGATGGTCTTTGGGGAATAATACATTGGGGAATAACTTTAAAATTCAAAGTAGAGTAGAAAAACCCTACCACTTTACCTGTGGTTAAGATGTTACCCACTTTCTTTTTTACCATTATGGAATGTCCTCAGTATTTATAAATAGGAAATGTGTTCAAAAATAGGTTGTCCAGCAAACATAAGACCAGTCCCCCCCTCCACACACACATACAAATTCCTGGGTTTTTTCTTATACCTTTCTGATACATGTTTGCTTCTGTAATATGTACATGTTTTACTGTTATGTAGTACATGACACCATTATAACATTATTTGAAGAGGACTTGTGGTAATAATTTTATCTTCATATATTAGGAATATTATTGATATGATATATGGTTCATTCCTCATTAGGATTTCACTTTGATCTCTACATATTATGCCGCTTCATGAACTGCAAAAAAACATTACTCAAAATAAAAAATCAAAGCCACCCCATCTCTCTGAATTCAATTAGATGCCTTCTTCAGTTATTATGGATAGCCTTTCCTCCACTCAAAAATGACAGCTGTGACAAGTGCCCATCACGTCTATTTCATCTTTATATCCCATGACACACTCAGCCCCTAGAAGAACACAGAGCAAGTTTTCACTAACTGCCAGGCGAATGAGTGAATGGATGCTGTATGATGCCCATCGCTTACCTTTGGTCCTCAGAGGTGTAGAACAATTACTGCTGAGCATTCCTTCACACTACCTCAGAAACTAAGTTTTGGCAATGATAGGAGGTGCCATGGTCCCCTCAGGTAACTGCTCACGTGTTTTCTTGATATAATTTATTAGAGGTAGAAAGCCGTGAGTTATTTTTCCTTATTTTCATTCTCCCTTGATTCATTCATTACAGCTTTGCTCATGAATACCTATTTAAATTTATAAACATACAAGAAAATATTTAACTTGTAAGTGAAAAAGAATGTAAAATTGAACAGTAAGTTCTTATTTGTGCTTATTAAAATGCCACAAAACATTAAAATTATGATATTCAATGGTACTGAAGCTATGAAAAAGTAACACAGAACAGATGCCTATAAAACTCAAAACTCTTAGAAAGCAACTTAGAACCAGTTAGTAGCCTAAAATGTTTCCAGCAACTACAAAACAGATTCAAGGAGTTTTCCTGATTAAAGAATTTCATAGAAAAACATTATGCAGATGTGTTACTTTATTTCCAATAGCAAAACATAGAAGCAACCTGAGTATTAGCGAGTGTGGGACAGATAGAACAAATAATGACACCTGACTTTAGAGAATATGAATAATCAAATTACTCATAAGGCAATCACAAATATCATTTGAAAGCAAACATGGAATAAAGATTTTTTAAAAGCAGAACGTGCTTATAGTTGCTTCAAAATTTATAAGCATAAGTAAAAGGACTATAAGAAAACAGGACAAAATAAAATTATTGTACAATCAAAGAAAAAAAAGATCCAGTTTTAGTCCCTTGATGTTCATATATTAAGGAGAATGTTAGGCAGATAACTAAGCAACATTTCTTTTCCCTGCTTCAAATCTCAGCATGAATTTTGTCCGGTTCCAGGGGCTTAGCCATTAAAAAAAAATAGCTCTGGCTACCATGGTTATTCTTTGAAAGTCTGAACAAAGTTCGTATTGTTCCCAGGCAGCATCTCTTATTTGCATTAAACCAAGAGTTATGATATTAGTGCATCCAGTTGTGGATTCTTTGAGGAAAGCAGACTCAACAGCACTTTTTCTGGTTGCACAGAAAATGATGGTCCTCTTTCAGGGTGTATTCTATTTCCGGTTCTTACCCTTTGTTATGTACAAAGGCAAATGGAAACTGTCGCCCATCATTATTCTAAGTCAACAGTTTTGTCTTACCAATGAAAGTGCAGGAGTTGCTATTATAGTGTGACTTTATACAGGAAACAGAATTTCTTCCAAAGGTTAAGACGTTAGCAATTGTGATAGTCCAGTAAAATAGTATGACAATTCTTACTTCTTCAGAAAAACACCAGAAACTTCATGTGCCCTAGGTGGTGAAGTAGCTGGTCGGTAGACAGAAATTGTCTTTATGTGAGTTATATTTTATACATATTATATGTTTTGTACATTCTGGAAAGTCATTTATAAGTGGAATGTATGAACTAAATAATAATGAGAATAGAAATAATCTACTCTCTTCTCATTCATTCATTCGTCAGTGAACATAGTGTTAAGAACACAAACTCTTAAGCCAAATCAAGTCAGTTCAAATCTTGTCTCTGTGTAAATCTGGACAAGTTACTTCTCTGTGCCTTAGTTTCTTCACCTGAAATTAGATAGAAATAGTACTTAGCTCATAGCAGTTTGTGAGAATTGTGTTGGCACTTAAGAAATGATCCATTATTATGAATGGACATGTTGTTGAAGGTGAGAACACAAATATAAAAGTGACCCAATTTTTGCCCTCCAGGTGACTAAGAAAACATTCTTCAAAATCTTAAGTTTTCAGTGAACTTAAAAACCACTCTTAAAAAAACAAAGTCTGTCTTTTAAAAACTCAAGGAAGAAGCAACTTTACTACTCCTGATGGAAAGAAGGAAGTCGTCCAGCATTGGGAACACACAGTCAAGGGTACTGGGAATGTTTTTTAAATGAAAGTGAAATTCTGTGGGATGTAAGTTTGAACAACATAGAAGTATAATGGGTCAAAGAATCTTTCTTTGGCACTTCAGAGGACTTTTTTCCTCTTTGGAAAACAATTGCTGGTTTGGAGTCCAGAACGACTAGTACATATCAGTATCTTTCTGAGTGGGAGGTTTTCCAGCCTAATATCCATATTTATCCCAGTATGACAATGAGAGATGTACATCTGAGTGTCTTGTTCTAATAATTTTTACAAGGAAATTGGACAGAGAAATCAAAGACATTTTTATTTTTACTTTTATGACTGAAGTGTTCAAAGGTATGTATGTTCTTCAAGATTTAGATTTGTAAATGTCTATTTGATTAGGTCTAATATGAAAATATGATGACTTAGTCTTTATTTTCCTGAGTTGATGAATCACTTAAAAGTTCTCTACCAAGGCTTTTATTTATTCAACAAATACTTATTTGATGCCTACAATGTAGGCATCATGCTAAATATGAATGTCCATTGGTAAGTCGATTCTGCTAATAATGAAAAGACCACATTGCTTTCTAGAATTTTGGACAATTCATTTGTCATGTATTATTGACACTAATAGTCACTTATTCTCTATGTACTTCTAGACCATTATTGGATGGTTATTTTCTGTAATTATATACTATGTGGTATTTGCCCATTTTACTTAGCAGGATCTACTTTTTATTTTAAGGGTGAGCCTGGTTTTCCTGGAGCAGCAGGACAGAGTGGACTTCCAGGACCAAAGGTTAGTACAAATGAAGCCAAGCAGAATCATTCATCACATGGTTTCCAGGTGATTATAGGATCCACAACTTCTTTGTATCCCACTGTTTACACTGAATGTAAGTTTTTGTCAGTGGTATAACAGGTTACAGTACAGAACTTTGTGACTAAAGAAAAATTATGCTTGTGATTCTCCTTAGCATTAAAAGTACAGAAAAATAAATGGAAAATGGTTATCTAAAACCTTTCTTCTGGGATAGTTAAGTCACAGAAGAAATGTTATTTCTTATGACTGTTTCAAAATGACTCTTGTCATTTTACTCCTTAATGACCATATAGGATAGGTCATGTCTGTACATATTTACAAGCCTCACTAAAGATATTTACTGTGTCACTTTGGATTTTCTCTAAGATTTGGCCACCTTCAGCCTCTACACAACATAACCAGTTAATCAGATGAAGAGCAAACTAAAGATGTGTCATGTTTACAATTTAAAAATGGATGTAGTCTGAATTACTAAATAGAGAAAAAATGTAATAAGGATTTTCTTGGCGGTGGGGGAGGGGGTATTCCACATTTCTTTGCTTCTTGAAGAGCAAATGAATCTGTTAAATATGAAAAGATTGGTGACGGTTTAGTTTGAACCAAACAGACAGACAGATCCCAAATCCTTTGATGAGTGAACATCCCTTGAAGTGCAAAATCAATGTCTAATCCCATCAGCTGTGTTGTACCACAGATGCTGTCAGCTGATTCTACACATCACGTTGATATTGACAGGCGCTCAGAACACAGCTAAAAGTTACAGACTTGCCCTGTGTCCTGAAGGAGAGGAGAGGAAGCATTTCTCCTGGGACTCCAGCCATTCTCCTGTCTTCATCCCTCTCTTGCTCCATGCTAAAAAGCCAAATGATGGGAGTTAATTCTTTTGCATATGGATGGTGCTATTCTGTTGCCTAGCAACCCAACCATCAGTATGGATGTTGAACAGTGAAGGTGGCCAGAAATGCAGAAAGCAAAAAGGTCAGGTTGAGTGCCAGAGAATGAAGAGTCTTGCCTCCAAACCAACTTCTAGAGAAGTTATTTTTTTTAACCCACAATAATTGCCTTAATACCGTTTTTTGTAAAAAAGCAATCTGGCCTCATGACAATACTTAGTCAAGCTTGTCATCAGGAAAAATCAACATAGTGTGTGTGATGTACTTCAGAACATGCCTGCTCTATCCCTGTAAAGTGAAATGAAATGCTTTTCACAGCACATTTTTCTATTTTCTTCATCATCCTTTTTTTTCTTGGGGTGCTGAGGATCTAACCCAGGGCCATGTATAAGCTATACATGCACTCTACCACTGAGCTACATCTTCAGCCCTTGGTTTTTTGTGACAGGATCCCACTGTTTATCCCAGGCTGGGCTTGAACTCATGATCCTCCTGCTTCTGTCTCCAGAAAACTAAGATTACAAGTGTGTAATCCTGGCTTCTGGTCATTATTTTGAGAAAGGACATTTAACCCACTAAAGTTCTATTCCTGTATGGTACCTTTTCTGAAAGTATAAGTGGTTCCTAAAATATACCTACTGTGGAACATGCTGTTTACCAACTATTAGAGTTCATGACGTTGTAGAGGGATCTGACTTTGGGACTGAGGATTATAACCATGATAGGGAAAGATAGGTTGAGGAAACTACACGGGAACTCCAGACCCCTGGAATAATGCATGTACCAGGACATCCTTTGAATAAAAGACATTGTGGAAGGACATGCTGGTCCACCTTATTGATTCTAATTTTGAACAGAATAAAAAATAGAGAATTTAGGAGGCCTCTCCAAATGGGCAAATAAACTGAACAGAGCTTTTTCAAAGGATTTAAATACAAATGGACAAAAAACACATAAAGAAATGCTCAACATCAAAATCATGTTAAGATTCCACCTCACTCCTGTTAGAATGGCTACCCCCATCATGATCACAAACAATAACAAATTGTTGGTGAGGATATAGGGAAAAAGGAATCCTCATACACTGCTGGTGGGAAGTTAAATTAGTACAGCCATTATGGAAAATGGTATGGAGGCTCCTCAAAACACCACTCCAAGGGATATACCCAAAAGAATGTAAGTCAGGTTACAACAAAGGCACCTGCACACCCATGTTTTTTGCAGCATTATTCACGATAGCTAAGCTATGGAAACAGCCAAGATGCCCCACTACTGATGAATGGATCAAGAAAATGTGGTATTTATACACAATGGAATTCTCTTCAGCTATTAAAAAGAATGAAGTTTTGTCATTTGCAGGTAAATGGATGGAACTAGAGAACATCATCTTAAGTGAAGTTAGCCAGGTTCAGAAGACCAAAGGCCACATGTTCTCTCTCATATGTGGAATATAGACCTCATACAAATACTGCAATATTATGAAAAACAGGTTATGCTAAGAAGCAATCACATACAAGCAAGGGAGGGTAAAAGAAGGAAGTTAAGAAGGTGAATATGGTTGATGTACTCTCTATACAAGAACGAATATAGAATTTTTAAACCTGCTGAAATCACCATAAGTAGGGGACTAAGGTAGAAAAGAAAAAAAATGGAGGAGGTGAACCAATTCAGGTTATAATATATGTATACATGGAAAAGTCACAAGGAAACCAATGTATAACTATCTTAAGCAAACAGAAATGTCCTGTTCCACCCTGTCTGGGGGGGTTGCCACCAGTGGGAGGAGGGGGGATGTGTGGAAGGGTGTGAGAGGGAGAATAGAGGGTAAGTACTGTGTACACATGTTATGTAAATGGAAAAATGAGACCTGTTGAAAGCATTCTAGGAATGAGGGAAGGAGAGATAAAGAAGAATGATGGAGGGGGTGAATTCAAATATTACATATTTGAAATATTATAAGAACTTTTGTAAATGCCACAATGTGCCCCTAAAACAATTAAAAAGCCTTTCCAAATATCGAATTGCCACAGTATTGTTCTTAAACCCCTAGCCAGTTCCTTGGTGAACATCTTGGTATAGTGTACACATTTTTATTCGGATGAAAACAAAGAATTAGATTACTTTTGATACTGACATCCATACTCATTTGTCAGGAATATCATGATTTGTTTTCATATTGAAACTATAGCCAAAATAGAAAGGTCATACATAATTCACCTAACATTGACTACCTAGTTTAATGTTATTTAATTAGGTGTTTTAGAATTTGATGTCACACAATTTTTTTTTTCTTTTGCTCAGGGAGAACCTGGAGAACAAGGAGAAAAGGTAAGAATGGTTCTGACTGTATTTATGTTTTTCCCCCAAAGATGTACCCAAACTGGACTTGATGGATGGATGGACAGGTAGAAATGATAGTTGAAGATGGAGGAGCAGTGATGACCTTGTTCATTTGCTTGTCTTTCAAACAGCAGAAGAGAAGGGGAGCATACTGTAAACATTCTGTGTCAGACTTTTAAATTCTGTGTCAGACTTTCAAATTCTATGTCAGGCTTTCGAAACACCCTAGACCTACAGAAATCTCTACTGACTCGCTAATGCACGTCTAAGCATGTACCCTTCTCTCTGTTGCTTCTTATGTCACTAGGTTAAGGCGATACAGATGCTTACCTGCAGCAATTACCTGAAAGTTGCCCCACAAAAAATCCCCATAAAAATCAGACACAAAAGGAGAAGCAGGCTGTTGTGTGTTCAATTTCTCTGAGCTTCTTTTTCCTATTACCTTTGGGGCTATTCTAATTATTTTCAGACTCTCAGGACATGTGGTGGTACTTATTTTCCTGGTTCTCAGGCTGCTTCTTCAAGTAGTGTTTGAGAATTTGCTCTCTGCGGGGGAAACTACCCAGGTCCTGCGTTGTACACTTCCTAGGTGATAGACTTTCCTGACAAATCAATATGATAACCTGTAATCCCAAAAGAAACGACTCTAAAGATCACAGAAAAGTCTTCCATGGACTATATTTTTAGTGTTATAAAGCGAAAGGGAAAGAATGTATTTATTTAACTGGAAGAAGAACAAAATATAGGGCTATAAAAGGCAATTCCATGAAGGATTTTTTTTTTTTTTTGGCGGGGAGGTGGGACTAGGGTTTGAACTCAGAGCTTCATGCTATGAAGCAGGCACTTTACGACTTGAGCCACACTTCTGAGGGGTTTGTTTTTTTAACAAAGGGATTTTCAAGCAATTTTTTTAAAGCATACAGATAAACTGTTTTTCAGAGGTCCATCATAATAGATACCTGTACATTTATTTGATATCCAATCAGCTCATGGTAATTAACTTGATATTAATTAGACATCAGATGACTGTGTAGAAATTGAAGAGGGCAGTGACAACACCCTTCCTGGGGCACATCAGATAGTGTCAGCTCTCATGGCCCACTGTGGAATATCTGTCACCATGGACAAATGCCTGAGCAGGTTAACTTCACACTTATTTGAAACAAAAAAAGAAAATTTGGAGAAAAATGAAAATCTCCCTCTACTTCCTCTCTCCCAAAAAACCATTATTAGTAGTTTCTCTCTTATTTTAAGGAACTTTTCAAATGATAGAAAGTGGCCCTGATGAAACTAGATTGAAATACGTTCCAGCCTATGGAACATATGGACAATAACGCATTATTACTGCTAATAGCTAGCAATAAAGGCTTAGATGTGCCAGATAATGCCTAGTTGCCGTTTGTACATATGACTTATTTCTTATAATTGCATGATGTATCATTCCCCTTCCATTACATGAGAGATACTTGATGCAAAGAGAATTTCATTTGCCCAGTAAGTCCCGGAGCTAGACTCTGTCTTCCTGACTCCAGGGTCTGTGGCGTTTCCACCACAGCTTGCTGTAAGACTTAAAGAATTCAGAATTTAAGGAGGCAAAGCGTGGAGAGTAAATGAACACCTTTCTCCCGATGCATTGCTTTATGAGTGGAAAGGAGATGTCAGTGAGGGGATTAGGCATAGGAACTCAAAAATAACAAGCATAAATTCCCCAAACTCATTTGACTATGATTTAGGGGAAAAGTTTTCTAACATAAAAGTTTCATTTCACAAATGCAAATCATAGAGGCCCAAGTAAATAAATAGTCCACAGTTTTTGAAAGCCATGTCGTGTACTTTGAGTCCTTAGAGATCTGAGATGGGTTTGAGGACAGAGTAGGATTTCTGTATATATTATATAGATAGATAGAGGAAAGGAGCAGGCAGGGGTGACACAAAGAAGGACACAGAGGTGGCAAACAGAAGTAATATGGTGGACAGAATTGTCAGGAGAAAGCCTTTGTTACAGGGTTGCTCTGGGCAGAGGGAAGAGCGTGAGAAGGCTTTAGTGTACAAATAAGCTGCTAGATAGCCAGTAGATAAATAACCGCTTTTTTGTTAATAGTGTGAAGTTTAAAATTGTTCCGCCATGTTCACTGGAATAAAATTAATTATATTGATATCAGGCAGCTGCCCAAGTAAAAGTACATTCTCTCTGGAGCACATTTGCAGCGAATTTTTAACCATAGTGTATAAAAGGAGAAATGAAAAATGCTCTTTGCTTAATGTCACAATAAATTCCAGGTCACTTTTTTCTTCTTCTCAGGGTGATGCTGGAGAAGATGGTCCCAAAGGTGACGCAGGCGAAAAGGTATAGTCTTATGAGCTAGGGAAGGGTGTATGTGTGAGCCAGAGCCAGAATGGTGCTTCCTGTATGTGGAAATGGGAGGTTTTAAGAGAGTTGAGTGACTGAGTGTGGCTTAGTATGACAAGATCAGGGATAATTCTCCAAGCCTTGAAAACTTATAAATATTCAATTTCTAAAAAAAAAGTGCTTGGTCTACATTTTATTTACAAATGTAAATATTTTGAAAGTAAAACGGTATGTCAAAAGTTCTAGAAAATGTATAAATAAGATTCCAGAAATATGTCCTTCAAGGAATAAAAACACTTATTTGCATCTACACGGGACACTCCCTTTATACACAGAGATGTGAGAATAAGTGTTCCTAAAGAGACTCAGTTTGTCCCAGTTTTAGGAGAGAACATGTCATAGGAGAGGGATAAAATTTAAAAGCTTAATCACAAGTTAATGTCACTTGATGAGAGCCTTTAATGCAGTTTTGAAAATTTTCAGTTTTAAAATTCACTGAATCTGGGTGTTTTGTATTCTGTCTCTCCCCTCCCTTGTTCTTTTTTTGGGGGGAGGAGGGGAGGGCAGGCACTTTGCCACGTGAGCAGCGTACACACACACCCTTGGTTCTAAAACCATGATTAGCAATTATAGTGCAGTAATTTTTTTTCTGCTAGTCTATCATTATAGCTTTTGCTTGAAGTCATATTTTATATCTCTGACATCTAACATCATGCCATCTCTGACGTAGGAAGGATATTTTACTTCATTTGTTCTATGTGTTAAAATCTCTTAAGTTACTGAACATAGAATACTCAATGTACATCAAGCTAAGCAGTTGAATGATGCAAAAAAAGATTTATTCAAGCTTATAGTTGAGAATAAGCCATTTTGAAAATTATTACAGTACAGATGGATAATGGTTAGTCATAAAAACATGCCTACAAAATAAAAAAAGAAATCTTCCTCCCTCTCATAAATATTAATATAAATATGGCATAGGAGCAGGAATGAATTAATGTCATCAAGTAGCCATTGTGTTTTGTATTAGAAGAGTAGTCTAGAAATTAGAGTGGACTCTGTTTCCTGAATCCAGGGTTTCTCAGTTTCAGCACTGTTGACATTCTGAACCAGATAATTCTTTATTACAGGAGCTGTCAGGTGTTTATAGTCCATGTACTCCATGCCAGTGGTACTCCTGAATCATGACAACCAAGTATGTCTCCAGACATTGCCAAATATTTCCTGGGGGACAAAATCACCCCCAGTTGGGTAGCATTACTCCAGAGCCATTTTGTTTACCCACCAAATTTAAGTATCATGTACAATCAAATATGACATGAAAATGTTTAATGCAAAATGAGGTCAAGGACATACCCTGACTACTCTCAAAGTCAGAATTTGAAACTCTAGATTTATAAACCTGGATGATGTTTTATTTAGCTTTCTTGTTTTTATTTAAAAGTAGAGGTCAACCAACTTTTCCATAAAGGGCCAGAAAGTAAATATTTTAGGTTTTGTGGGCCATATGGTCTCTCTCACAACTCTTCAGTTCTGTTGTTGTAGCATGAACACAGTCATTGACAACATGTAAGCAAACAAATGTGGCTGTGTTCCAATAAAACTTTATTTCTGGACACGGAAATTTTCATCTTATTCAATTTTCATATGTCATGAAATTGATTATTATTTTGATTTTTTTGAGCCATTTAAAATGTGAAAACCATTCTTGGCTCATAGGACTTGCAGGTGGCCAGCTGGATTTGGCCACAGTGCCAGCCTCTGCCTATAAGAAAGGAAATATTCTACACAGAGGGCAACTTCTTCAAGCCAAAAAATTTATACCAGTCTGAACTATGCCAACATGGATTTATAAAGAATGTTTTATGATTTAGAAGATGTATTTTTAAAGCTTCATTTCTGGAGCATAGGCCAATAATTGTTTCTTTAATCACGTTTTGAAATTTAATTTTACAATAGTCAAGCAACTTTTTTCTTTGAAAAAGCCAAGATATCTCAAAGGAATAATGTTCTTATTTTATATATTAATGCAAATCATTTACCATACTGACTCACACATCATAAACTCTCAATAAATATTAGCTTTTCTTATGACATGGAAACTGAAGTCAATGAGATTGGTTGTTTTTCTTTTTTTATCTAAAGTTTTATTAGTCAGTTGAAATTAAAAACAAGAAATTCCTCAGTTAAAACGGAAATCATTTCTATAAACTTTCAATGTGTCTAAACAGGGGATTGTAAATAGGAAACTGTAATGTGTATAATATGTAATCTGACCTGTAGCATTCATCCCAAGAATGCTGTAATTGGAATATAATTTTTGATGTGTTTTTTAAACATTTCCTGCTTCTGTCATATAATTTGTTTCCAGCATGTTGGAAACACTCTTTTCGTGGTCTTTGGGCTCAGTATGTGAAACTCATTCATCATTTACCAAGTTTGAGATGTAAAAATCAAAAATGCTTCTTTTCTGCCATTGATGTAGTACATTACGTCATTGAATGATTCACTTTAATAGGCTTCTTTGTTTTCCTTTTGATCCAACTCTGCGCCTTTGGATGCTAAAGCAATCTGAGCCTTTCCAGACTGGTCATCTGGAAATGCTGTGGAACTATAAAGACCACTGGGCCAGGTTTGTCTGTGGCCAGCAACTGTGATGCACTCTAGGTTAAGAATAACCTGCCAAAGACTAATTTCATTGTATGTGAAGTTACCATGGAAGGGTTGTATTCTGCTGTTCTGAATGTTAATTCCACCAACAAATGTACAAACATTTCTTATCCATCCATGCACTTGAAAGTAGATGCTTGTGTAGCCCCCTGTGGGGTTTTTCCATATCACCGTATTCACAATTTTATCCACTGATTCAAGAGCTCCACCTTCACTTTCTTGCCTTAAATTGTCTGTTTTTTCCTCCCCCCCCCCGCTCTTCTTTGTTCCCATTCCTATGAACACACTGCCTTCTTACTTGACATCTTGATTTGCATCCTTTGAGCCTTTCCACAAGCCACACTATATCTGGAATCACCAACCAAATTGCTTTCCTTACTTGAAATTACACCTAACAACCTATCTCAGTGGATACTCCCACAGCAATCAGTGCCCAGCCTCCACTAATTCAGTACATCATTCCTGGCTTAGACACTTGCTGTCTGCCTCCTCCGCACTTCTCATCACCACATCTCCTCTTCCTAACCTTGTTCACTCCTCAGTCCAGTGAAACCTAGACTTAGACATCACGTCCCTGGGGCAGCCTCTCTGACTCCTCTGGATTGCTTAACTCATCTACTGTTAGTTCCAACAGCACTCTGTAATTCCATTCTTAATCCGTATCATGCTTTATTATAATTTCTTTAGTAATTGGACATCCAGCTCACTGAAAAAGGAAAGCCAAATAATTTTTTTTAAAAACTACACAATGCTAGACTGTTCTATTCCCACCACCTATCCAAGTTTCTATCACATGGTTAGAAGGTAAGTATTTATTGAATGAAAACCCTTTTCTTTTTTTCACTTTGAACTATTTCATATTTACATTTAATGGTAGGAAATGTTCCTGTACCATGCATTTGTTTATCATGTCTTTTGTGACACCAAATATCCTAATCTCTTCCTCTCACAGATTTTTTAAAAGGAAAGAAAGAATAAAAGAACATTTTCATGCTTTCAAACAATAACGTGTTTGTATTATGCATATATCTACATATATAAGTGTTCATCATAAGTGCAGAACGGGAGGGATTATAACTGCGTTGTTCAGTGCTCCTTCCCCAACTCCCGGCATCCCTGCATCCCGAACATGCCTGGAATACAATTGGTGTTCGATAAGTATCTATGGAAAGGATTGATGAGTGATATAAATGTTACCACATTCACTTTTACATAGCTACATGTGCTTTAATGATATGTACTTGTAATTATGTTCTACATATTGTGATTGAAGGTAGTCATAAACAAAACCAGAAACTGAGCTCTAATGAAAAATAGTAAAGTCAAGTTCATTCATCTCAAAGTATTTCTCTACCTATGACTTACCCTGTGGAAATTTTATTTCCAAACCAACTGACTTCTGAAGCTAGGAGTGTAGTTAAGACATAGTTGGAGGGTTATTTCCTACTTTAATCTCCTAATTCACTTTCACTTTGGGGAGCAGAGGATTATAAACACACTTTTATTTCAGCTACTTGGAGCACTATCCTTTAAAATGTTTAAGTTATGAATGTTTTCCAGCAGTTGGCTTACCACTTAAAAGTTATAAAAATTCCTGGAGACAGTTCTAAATCTTTAAAAAGAGAGAAAAAAAAATCTCTCTCAGTTATCCATCAAATGAAACCTCTCAGATTTCCACGAATAAACCGGCCTTTCAAGAGCCAGTCCTTTACTTTCCATCCACTTTCAATGAGAACTAAATCTAACCTTTATTCTCTTACAGTGGATTATCTAACGATTTTTCATTAAAATACAGTTAATACAAGCAACTTCTTTTTATTTATAAGTTTACTACAGCCTTTATGCCCTGTTGTCAAAATGAAATAAACCAATAGTTCTTTTCTTATTAATAAAAAGAACATGGAAATAGAAGTTAGGACTCTCCCAATTTACTTAACTTCTAGCTGCTTCAGTTTCCTCATACATTAAATGAAAATAATAATGCCTTCCCTGTTTTGTGGGAGTTTAAGACATAAAGAATGAAGAAAGAACTTTGCAAAATCAAATTGTTTTTATGAATTTAAAGGTCTTATTGTACAAAATAACTGCAAACCTCTTTCATTAGTGTTGATAGCTTTTAGACTTTATTTAGTAGAAATAAAAATAAGCATTATTTTATTTATATTTATCTGCCTTCCATTTGCAACTCATTTGAGCAGTAGCGATTAGTGTATCATTCTACAGAAAGACAGTACTCAAACCCCCTTTTCCATTGTTTAGTCACATGTTAATTTTTCCTTGGTTAATAGCAATTACAGATGTCAAAGAAATTCACATATGTATTTCTTTCCTCAGCAAGCTAATTTACTATTTCCTTCTCCTTCCTAAGCTTTTTTTATTGTTGTTCCTGAAGTCTTTTTATTTTGATCCTTCCTTGACTGCTGACCTGTTCAAAAAGTTCTTTTTTGAAATTTGTTCTTTCATGTACCACACAAGAATGTAGTGTAGCAGACAGGCACTAAATAAAAATAGATGCAGAATCTGTCCACATGTCATTGGCTGTCTACTGGAGGGACAGACAATGAATATGCAGGAAACATGTAAACAGGCAATTACAAAGTGAACTGTGCCAGACATGGACAGAACGTGATGCCACACAGTAAGAGGGCTCCATGTGTGGAGGATGGTCAGTGAGGGAGAACCATTTAAACCAAGGCCTAAAAAAAGAGAAGGTGCCATTGTGAGAAGAGAGGAGAGGAAGTGAGGGAGGGGGACAAGTACCCATTCACAGGGACCTGGGGCCTCTGTCTGTCTGTCTTTAAAAGAGATTGATGAGCAGCTTCTGGACTCTAGAACAAGGAAACAGGCCCCCGGAGCTCAGTGAGCAGTTGTACAGACGAAACAGCTAGGAAGTCCCCAAGGAGGCCTTCCTCCTGTGGCTGTTTTTGTTTTCTTGACAGTCTCACATAACTAAGTTTTCTTCTTTTCTTTTTCCTTCTAGCATGCTCATGGGAGAGAGAGGGCTAGAATGATCTTGACAGTCTAGGAGCTTTGCTGGCCTCACTTCAAAAACAAGCAACGTCCCCAGCTCTCTTTCATATTCTTTTCTTGACTAGTCCCTATCTGTTAATCTATAATATATTTGCTTTGGAAATGGGGTAACCCTCTACAAAATTTGGGTGGAACACAAAGCCTTTAAAAAAAAAAAAGAAACGATTCTGTCCAAGGACTTTCAATGCTTATATGTGTCCTTATCACCCATAAGTCATCCATCATCCTGTACTTCCAGTGACTGAGTTACAATGAAATAAGTGTAAAGCTGGAAAAGGCATGCTGGTCGTGACTGTGTGACAGTGCTTCACGAGGAGAACAGACGGATATGCTGTGTGGCTTTTTCCAACTTGACCTCATTAACCCTTTGACTTCATCTGTTGAACCTTGACTTTCCAAAGACCGAAAGGGTCAGGGAACTCCCTGTAAATGATAGCCACTGGCATTAATAAATTCCAGAAATAGAGAAAACTGAAAATTCCAGATGCCTAAATTTTAATTTATTGCTTCAGAATATACTTTTAGCACTATAGGAAAGGTTATGTTTATATTTATTTCAAGGAATAGAGTACTTACATAATTTGTATTCAAATTAGATCCATGTTTTTAAGAAGTACATTGTTTGTCTTGTAAATTGTTTCCATTTTAACAGCTAACATATTGGAACAAAGTCTTATGGAGTGTAGTTAGGTCCATTGGTCATGGAGTCCTTTTGAGCATCTGGGCTGGTAATGGTTGTCCGGTGTTGGTGATGTTTTCTATTTCTATATGGCATAATCTCTCATGGGTTTCATTTCAGGGTGACCCTGGATCATCTGCTGCAGGAATTAAGGTAACAATAGCCTTGCAAGTATTGTACCGTGGAAGTCACAGGTTTGATTTTATGAGCCTCTCCTTTCTCTTTCCTTTACCAATGTTGATGGTTATAGCCCTTTTTCTACTCTCCTGCAATAAGTGACTTGCAAACACACCAGGGATATCAGTGAGAAACCCAGTGAAGGCTTCAGTAAGAAGATTTTTCTTCTCCACCCTTTTTTGTTGACTATAGAAATGTGGAATTATATGTGAGCCATACGTATACTCAGAGCAATAAATTTCCATGTGTCTAGTGAGATGTCGAGTAGGAGAATAAAGTGAATGAAGGGCAGGTGAACAAGAGGAAATCTGGGCCTTCTCTGTGAAACTGCCCAGAGGCCTAGGTGTTTGGGAAAATTTTTATTAGGACTGCCCTTTTCATCTCTGATTTTCTTTCACCAGGGAGAACCTGGAGAGTCTGGTCGTCCAGGGCAAAAGGTAATACCTCTGTCACCAGTGTGTTTGTTGTACTGCATCATAGTCACCATTTTATATCTATGATCCACTGTGTATATGAAAATGAGTATTGCACAATGATGTACCTTTCAAGCTTTGCATACAGAGCGTTATTTGGTGTTTTACATTTTCAAAGGTCATGATGCTGACCATAGCAAAATGTAAATACAAACTCTGTCCATATAAAGATGCTTTGTGAGCTAAAGTCTGCATGTACTCAGCTGTTTGAAACTAACAAAGATCAGTTGGGTGGCAATGCCAGCAACTTGCCTTGCATGCTTCAAAGTAATCTGCATGTTTCTGTCGTACATGACCAGAAATGAATGTTTGATAAAACTGTCTCAGTAGGGAATGATGGACAGTTCTTTTAAAATTATGTTCCCTTTCCTTTCATTGCAAATGTTTCCCTTCTGATAATCTTTATGTTAACCTACCTGTGCCATGAGTGTGAAGTTTTAAAAACTAAATTCGTTCATGAGCTACATTTTAATTAGAAACACTAGCCATACCAATTTAACTAACCAAGCTACGGATACATTAAATTTATCATTTGTGCTTCACTTCAGTGCCACGCTAGAGGACATGCAGTGAATATGTTTAGATTCATATTCTCGTTTGAGTGTGAGGTAGGAAACAAATGTTAGCAGTTTATCATCTGAGCATCTGGATATCAACACCCAGTGCAGTCAGATTGCAGGTAACAGATGGATTGCAGCTAACAAGTAAATGTAAATTCCACATTAACTTAACTCTCTTAAGATCACGACTCTGCCTTTTTCCAGCAGTAGCCAATATTATAAACAAATAGGAGAGAAAGATAGCGTTTATCTCATTAGCGCAGGGCAAAGAGAGAGTAATCCCATGATAGCAGTTTGGAACCTAAGACCATGTATTTGCTATGTCTTAGGAGAGGTTTATTTTAAACACTTAGGATGGAAGTAATTTTTGAAGTCTTTGAGGTCTTTTATGGTCTTTTAACATTACTGACATCTTTTTTCTCTAGAAACTAAAAATCAAAGAAGAGTAATAGTAGATTTATCAGACTTAGTTCCAGATAAAGTTGAGACTTTTCCAAAGAGCCCAGTGGAACTCTGCAAATTTTAGTATTTAACCTCTAAGAGTTTCTTCTAATCTTTTAAAAAGAAATTTTTAAGTAATTATATAGTCAGAGATCCATGATTTGCTTAGTTTGTTAAAAATGCCTAACTCTCAGCTTTCTAATTTTTGGTCCCTTGGCCATTAAAAATTAAAGGCTGTGTTTAAATTGCTTTCCAAATCAGGGATTTGTGAAAAAGAAATGTCTGCAAAAACAGGTGTGGCGGTACATGCCTCTAATCCTACTCTTCAGGAAGCTAAGGCAGGAGGATTGTGAGTTCACGGCCAGGCTGGGCTACAGAGTGATACCCTGTCTCAAAAAAAAAAAAAAAAGTATGCAAGGTTGTCATGTCTCTAAAACACAAGCAAAACATAATCGCTATAATCTTGCATCAGCTCCATGCCACTGTTTCCAGTGTGGAAGAAGTAAATTGATCTTCAATGACTTAAGAAAACATTGCTGCATCATGACTTTTTGGAAATGTAGTTTAGGTTCATTCTGGAAGTTTATAGGTTTATACATAGAAACATTGGATTTCCTTTGTGTTTCATTAAAAAAGTCAGCTTTAAATTGCATCAAAAGAAGGAATCAATTGATTTAAAAGCTTCCAGCCCCTCTAGGTTAGTATGTGCCCTGAAATGAGCAGCATCACTTTCAATTGTATTTCAGCCAGATTCTACCCTTGGATACAATCTCGCCTTCCTGCAATTACATGACTTCCTTTGTCCAATACAGAGGTTTGACAATACTTACCCCAACATTGATTTAAAAGTAAAATATTCCCGCCCTTGTTGCTAACTTAGATTAGAAAAATGACAAAGTGAACTGAGTGCAGAGTCACTTCTAGAGATCTTCCACAGCATTTTCCTCACCATTGCAGAGCTGTGTTGTGGTTTCCAATGGCACTTACGTGCCTGCATTTAGGAGCATTCCCAGAAAAGAATATCATGTCACAGCACAGACCAGTAGTTAGCTTTCTACTATGTCCTCTTTTCCAGTATGAAAGTTTGATATGTAGGGTAACATTCGTAATGCAAGAATCATTGCATTTCATTCTTTCTCTTACAGCTTCAACAGTAGAATGTATGGTTGATATGTGAGTCGGAGTGTGTTTATAGGCTTGCAGAGTGTGTGCATAGATTTATCAATAGGTATTGTATTTCCTCACATAGTTCTTTCCTTCCTAACTTCTCCACATCTTTTAAAGTATGCACTTTAATTTCAAAGCAGTAGAATAACTTGATCTCCCATCAGAAGGGACCCTCATGAGTGAACTCTCTCTCTAGACAGCCAAGGTACTGAAACATGGATGAACTGTGAAATGCAAAGTCCTGACTGTGAGGGTCTCCCACAGTGGAGAATGGAGAGAAACGGTGAAAGAAACAAAAAAAACAAAAGTGTTGAGTGTCTGAGTGAGGTTTAATCTCTTGGGTAAGGATTCTTTGAGAATAACAAAGCAATTCTGAATTGCGGCCTAGATTTGATCCACTGGATGTGTACACACAAGAACTCAACTCAGAAAAGATCCGGAACCAAAGCATAGACAAGATGGAGAAGTTAAATGAAAAACTATCTCTTAGTTGGAAGATAAGCTTTCATGGTACAAAGATAGACAATTATACAGGAAGAAATGGCTTCCTGAAAATGTGGAGATGTTCCACAAAAAGTAACATTAAATATAATCTTTCATTATGGTAGCAAGTACATGAAGAAGAGGTCAAATTTATAAAAATTCAAGACTATGGAATATTTCTGAAATATTTTTTCACTAAAAAGTATGTTTATGACCTACCACACATACATATGTACACATATGATGTAGAGAAAGGCTAAATGTTCAAAATCTCTATAAGTATTAATTCTATATTACAAGCTATTTCAGAACTGGGTATAGTGGCACAGGCCTGTAATCCTAGCATTTCACAGACTAAGGCAGGCCAGCCCAGGATACATAGTGAGACCCTGTCTTAGCAAAAAAAAGATACTTCATAATGGCTTACGCATCTTTCTCATTGTTAGAGAAAATGACTATGTGTTCAAGTATATATGTGCCTATAAAGTATGTAATTTTTTTCTTTAATTTGTTGGGAGGCAAGGGAATAGTAAGAATTCTCATTAGAAAATAGACAGCCTATATATGTAAATTCATATGGGATGTGATTCATATGGGATGTCTCCAGAATGAGTTTGGGGAACTCTTCTAACACAATGCAGTTTTTTTAATTGTGTATTTCTACTGTAATTTACTGTTTTTGACAGCCTTCTACTTTTTTAAGTAAAAGAGAACTTTTAGTAAGATACATTTACAAGCCCTTTCTACTGGATTCCCTTAAGTTTATTGATTAAAAGATGAAAGGGAAAGAAAAAAATGAAATGTATAATGTGATAACTGTAAAACTTAATTTATTTAGACAAGTAGTCTTTGAATGGAATGATAAACAGGTTTTTAAAACCCAGCCTTTCTTCTCTAGTTTAGACTTATCTTAATCTTAATCTACAATGCAAACTTTCATTCATATGGTTTTGGACAAAATAGTTTTTCTTTTGCATTCCTGAAGTACCTTTAACCTCAATCATCAAGCAATTCATTGCCCTTTTACTTGTATGACCACAGAGCTTAATAAACAGTATCTAAAGCCATTTTGTGCTAATCCAAGAGCAAATTATAACTCTTTATAATTTGAAAGTGATAATATTAAAGATAGAAAGCCTGGTTACTCTTAGTAGATTTCCCCTGAGTTAAGGATTATTAAGCATTTAGACTTCAAAAAGAAATAGCTCCTCCCACTTTACTGGTGCTTCCATCTGTTTTAGTATGGTTGTTATACCACCAAGTGACCATTAGGATATGACGTGATTCTTTTACCTTCAAAAGTCTTTTCCACAAAAAGTAGTTATTGCCCAAACCCAGGGCAGACTTTTATTTTTTCCTGCTATTCCTTTATCCTTCTTTAGTGGAATGCAGGAGATTTTCTAAGCAATGTAACCTCTTGTCACTACACTTTGTGCTTAAAATAATGTAGACAGTTCTGTGAAAATGAGACGGGTTTGCCTGACTGCAGTGTGTTCATCCAATATGTACCACTTAATCTCAGACCTGTATTCAGAAACAGCTGCATGGTACCATTAGTCCTAAGCTGCTAAACAGGGTTGCCCCAACTCAACAATTGCCAGAGATATAGACTATTTATTTATCTTCTCATCACTCAGGAATGGAAAGGAAATCTTACTATACTTTTAAGTCAGCAGTACTTTTAATGCATATTGTTTCAATGTGACCATCTGTTCATACAGCCAACTCTTGATTGTCTGAGGTGAGAATCCAGGAATAAGATGCACAATTAAAATGCATACATATCCTCATTTCAGAAAATCGCTCCAACAAATCATTTGCCAAAGGATAATAAAATATAGACATTACTTCTCTTTTACTCCACTTTCTCACCTTCTGATAGAGATGCCAATGAGCAGTGAACTACAGGAAGAGGGACAATTCTGCCAAGTTGCCAACGAATCCCTCAATCAAGAGTTGACTGAGTTGCACAATCTTACCAAACTTTGTGAACCTAGACAACCTCTGTACATGTTTTATAAGTAGGAAGTATTCATCTAGGAACATCTGTGACTGAGTGAATATCATTCTATAATATTATGTGATTTTCCTATGTAGGGTGAACCAGGGCTTCCTGGGCTTCCTGGACTTCCGGGGATAAAGGTAAATACTGCACTGACAAGTCTTGGCTTCATAGAACTGTAATTATGAGAGTTGTCTAAATTGGAGGAAAAATAGGGAAAAAATGAAAACAAAATATGCTGATCTTTAAATATTCCACAGCCATCTCAACTGATTAAATTAAAAATTGAGGACAAGTATTTAAAGTTTCCCATTGCTATCTAGACTATATATTCTACTAGTTAACCTATTACACTCCTTATGTAAATGTAATGGTCACCTCGCATGAAAGTTTTAAAGTCTACAATGTTTGTTTACCTTCAAATTTAAATTTTTTCCCTAAGATGCTATCAGATTTTGACTAGAATTAGTCTTATAAATCAAGCATTTAGGCAGCTGTCTTTGTGATTCACCCGTTATAATAATCCCTCTAGAAAGTTTGTGCTTCCACTTCCTGTCAATAATTCTCACTGCAAAAGTACAAATCACATTACTAAAATATTTTGGCTGAACATATGTACCATCCCCGTAAACTGTCTATGCATCTTTTGAAAAAATTCCTTAAAGCATAATATTAAAATATTATTGTAAATATTTTTAAACTACTTGAAATATTAAAAATATTTTTAAGTTATTTAAGATTTTTCACATGGCAACTAATAAGTCTTAAAGTTTTACTGTCCTAGCTGCACTTATTCCTTATTCAATCTCTTATTTAAAAAAATACATATATACACACATATACATATATATATTTTCTAGAACTATTTGATAGACTAACATGATGCAAGTACATCTTTCTTTACATCATTCTCATCTTACAAAGGTTTAAATAATCTCCAGAGTGCATTAGTCGAATCTCAAGTTCATATTCCCACCTTCAATGTGAAAGCTTGGTATGCTGTTTATAAAGATTCCACTTACAGTATGTTCACTGAAATTATATGATTTTAGAATAAAAGTTTTAACTTACTGATTTCCCAGAAGTCATGTGGTATCGTATGTCATTGTTGTTATTATATTTGATATGATTAATAATGCACTCAGAAATTTTGGTCCTGGCTTTTTGTTTGATATTTCTAGATTAGTATCAAAAATGTTCACAGAGGTCCTTTGAATATATTTTTAGTCTTTAACTTCTGCAGTAGAAAGTACACTCTATGACATACTTTATTGAAGAGTCAAAGTCACTTCTTTATCATTTGATATTTAGCAAGAGTAGAGCATAAATTAATATGTGATTTCATATTGCAGAGTTAATATGACAACTTGTTATAAATGACTGGAATGTCATAAATTTTTTAATGAATTGAAGAAAGCGACATTCATTATTAATTAACAAGATCCTGGTGGCATGATAAATCAGGGAAAAGGCGTTTGAAAAAAGGGACACTTGGGAGGATTGGGTCAAAGTCCCTGCAGCAGTGCTGTGGATTAAGCACAGCCAGTGTAAGCTCAGCTCATGGAGCCTCTGGGCTCTGAAATCCAGTTGTCTCCCCTGAGTTTACGGCACTTTGTAGGTGAAAAAGCGAACATGAGAAGGAAAAGATTTTGTTTTCCAAAGTAAAATTGATATGATTTTGATTAATGCTATTAGTTATCATTTTCTTTTTTTACTGTTATATTTCTACTGTGAAAAATATCCCACCAGACCTTTGGCAGTTCCCTAGTCACCTGTGGACAGGTCTGAAGGCTTTGAACTTTTTCAGATTGGGAGTGTTATTGGTGATTTTCCCCATCCAGTGAATGCTTACGTTCCTGCATTCCTAAGAAGTTGCTGGATAAACTTTGTGAGTCATGTTGCTCTGATATTTTGATTTTTTGTCCCTCAGTAGCGACTAGAGTAAAAAGAAGCCACCAATTGACAAAACCTGTTTTCGTCATTCACTAGAGATATTTTTCTATGTAATATTCAAGCACTGTCCAGTATCTGATTTTGGTTTAATAAGCTTTGTCTTCTTTCTCTAATTCAAATGAGAGTGGGCTTACCTTATAAGCTTTCCTTATAATGCATGAAGTGCTGAGTATAAATAAATAATTTTGAAAAGGAAAGAATTTAAGAACCTATTAAGGTCATTAGTGGTCACTGAATAATTATAAATGTAGACTTAAAAGACTGTAATTTTATTGTAAAATTTATTGTGTTCTTTATTCCTTTAGTTTACCTTACTTCTACTAGTAGTAAACCACAGTTAGCCCTGATTTCATACTTGTAGTGAGCAACAGGATTTAAAAGATGAAACCATTAGGTATGAGTATAGAACACATGCTAGTGGGAATATTAGTTCTAATCTTCCTAAACTTGTGTGTTTATTTATGCTTTGGAAATACTTCCTGTTGCTACTCATCTCCTTCTGATCTGCTGGTTCTACAGAGAGCTTGCACATGCCATCCGTTATGTCTAAGACGTTGAGGAAACCAGCCGTGACATACCAGGGAAGCTTTGATTTACCACCTGTTGCTCTCGGGGAATGGCTGGAAACTTAATGAGTATCCACATGCCTTCCCCAGCTCTCAGGAAATGAGCAAAGTGCCTAAATACAGACAGCAGACTCATCTATCTATCGCCTCAGGATCCCACTCAGAGAAGAGTGCTAAGACTGTAGGCCTACGTAATAAAAGTCACTAAGAGCAGGCATAACTTAATTTCATACTACTCCTAAGCTTCCTGCACAAGCATTTGAAAGTCCTCACACCATGTGGAAGGCATTTAGAATTCCTATTTCATGCATTCATGGTTCATAGAGTGTCAAGATGTTCAGCTGGGAAAATTAAATTATGTATAATATACCATGCAGAAATTGATCTTCTGGAATAAGATTGGAGCTCAGAAAATTAGTTTTATGAACAAGCCTTCAAATATTTTTCATAAGTAAAAATTATTATAACTAGCTTTTCTGATATCACATAAAAGGATAAGATTCTAAGTTCCTACTATTTAAATTTTCATTCTCTATGCTTACTTTGAAAAATGTTAAGAACATTTTTTACCCTTTCTTACAGTTAGATTGCTGTAATAATTAAGCATACTGGACAGCGAATCTAGAATAGACCACTGGTGTGTGGATCCTGATTTTACCCTTACTAGCAGTATGATTTGTAGCAAGATCTATAATATCTTTGTGTTTCAATTTCCTTATGGAAGTCATCATTGATTATAATATAAAGGATGGTTGTGAGAATTAAATTAATTACTATACACCAAGTATATCACCAAGTACATAGTAATTACTATGTACATATTGGCTATTGTTATTTCTTTCTCTTGGGCAGCTCAGAATATTGGAAACACTGGTTTTGCTCCTGTTCTAGAACAGTCTTTTCTCGTGTGAGTAATTTTAACCCATGGAACATATAGCCACCTATACTCTACAGATTAATAGATATAAAGTATGAGAACTGCTTTGCAGTGATGGGTGACTGTGATCATTAAAAACAGTTAAGATTGCCCACTTTCTCTTGAAATATGGAATCACTTCACCCCTGTTTCCTCTTAACTCAGGAAGATTCCAGGAACAAGGCTAAGGGAGCACAGCATCTAGGAAATCAGACATGACATTGTCAAAGTCCTTCCTGACAGTGTTCATAGGAAAAGCAAAAGGAAAACTTGACATATCCCATAATGGTGGAAATTCTCCTGTCAGTGTCGTCTAACCCAAGACATTTGTTCAAAATGTAGATTTTCGATGCTTGCTTTTCTTCTTTTGACATATAGCACTAGTTTATCTCACCATAGAAATGTAATACAGCAAAAACTAGATCAAATCAGAAAAAGAATCATTTAGGTGACAGCCAAATTTTTAGAGTATATCTTCCCTCAAAGCTTAATGTTTTTAGTCTGGCTTCCACAAAATGGTGAAAACTCAACCATTCAGCTCAAGAACTTGAGGACTGGGAGGGTCTGAGACAGTAACTAACTCTGTATACCATTTCACATGAAATCACCCTTGACATGAAATCATATAAAGACCAACTTTTGCAGGTGGTAGACACATTTACTTTGACGTACTTAGGACTAATATTGTGCTCAGTAATCTAACAGAAATGTATCTTCTTAAAGCCACAGGTTATGAGTTCCTTCCTCAGAAACATCAAATCACATTTTAAAAGTAGCAGAGGAAAATTTGAAAGTAATATAAGATGTGAAATAAGTTCCTAAAAGAGAAAAAGAAATACTATTAAAAAGGATAACAATGTGCTATTGTTGCTTATAATTATTTCCTGCTTTTAAAAAGTCCATTTGAGAAGTTGAGTAATTTAAGAGTCCTTAGGAAACTCATACAACCAGAAATCAGATTTTTTAGCAGCCATAATAAAATCTCCAATAAATATACTGAATGTCCTTCACGATGTAATTCTGTTAAGAAAAAAGAAACAGAAAGGTATGTTTTCTGGATTTTAAATAACTCTGCTATCGCAGTTCATTTTCAGCAGAGCCACAAAGATATTTTAATTTATTCTCAAATTTTATCCTTCAGGGAAATAAGTATTTTAGGGGCAGACTCCACTTTCTCATTTCTTTTTTTTCTCCTCAATAATTTTATATATCAATCATTACCAAAACTGGCTGCCTAGAGGTTCTTATTACAACAAATGTTATTGCTGTAATCCTCAAAAGCAGGTACCATGCTGACTTGAATTCTAATTAGCCTTTAAGCAAGAAGAATGTTGTACGGCTAATGCGTACAGTGTCAAGACACATTAATCAAAATTATTGGTGATGCTTTTAGCACCCAGGCAAATCAGCACTTATTTTTCAAGCCCCATTCTACTATTTTTGGGGCAATGAAAATCGGATCTGCTTGGGGGTAATAAATATCATTGAATCCGGTATGCTGGAGGGTTGTTAGACAGATTTTTAAAATAATATATTTTACTCCTTTAATTGATAATGACTTATAAAAATAAAACAAATGGTGATAAATGAAGAACCAGAGTTTTTCTGTGGGCAACACTAATCAGTTAGGACTTTCTGGTCTTCATCCGTTTAACAGATGGTAAGTTCTAGAAGTTTATACGGAAACACCTGGTGAGCCATTTCT